CTGTTTCATCTAACTTTAATTCAATAAAAAAAATTGAACATAAATTATAGTGTACTAGTCTTTAATATAATCCTCCCACATAGTACAAACAATCTTCTCACGTTGAACTAGCATTTCTCGATCATATAACCGAGAAGATGAACCAACATTATTACTTTGAACCATTTGTTGGTTAGTATCATTCACAACTATATTTTCATGTTCATAGACCATAAATATTTCATCACTCTTTTGGTATTTTCGCAAATATTTATGTAACACTTACAAGTTATGACAATTTTTACTTGTGTGTCAATAATGATTCATGCCTTGTTTCACTTGTGTGCAATTACACATTTTCAGTGCATTAATTTCGTACTAAAATCAAACATATTGGAAGTAGTGATTATCAAACATACATCAAACAATTTTGTCTTTTTTCATATTAAATTGCTTCAAACATTTTCATATGTAGCCGAAAGAGAATTTTTTTTATTATGAAAAAACAAAAAAATATTAGTCCCTCCGTTCTTATTTATATTCACTAAATCAATCCCTACTTTATCATTTGTATTCACCAAATTTAAAGTAATAACAAATTTTATGTTGGTGAGAATAAGAAATTTTAAAAAGTAATAATGTGATTATCAATTTTATTTAATTTACATATGAAATAAATGGTTAGTAGATATAAATGTGGATTTGTTTTAACAAAATATAAACTTTTGGGCCAATTTTTGTTTTTAAAAATTCTCAAATCATGATATGAATACACAAATAATATTTTTTGGAGAATATGTGATTCCATCTCATGATATGAAATCATGAGATGGAATCAGCGTGAAATCGTATGTCTAAATGTTGATTTCATCTCACGATTCCATATCGTGATATAATATCGCATGACCAACCGCCTACTTAATTTTACACAATCAATAACCGACGATGTAAATATTGTTTTACACAATCAATAACTGTGAAGCCTATTACAGGCAATCAATCTGTTAGTACTTTTTCTGTTCCTATTTGCTTGTTCATTTTTGACTTGACATACCTATTAAGAAATTAATAATTGACATAGTAAATTTACTATTTTACCCCTATTATTTGATATAATTTCAAAATCAATTCACTACCTTTTTAAAAAAAAACAAAAACATTAATTTTCTAAATAAACTGAGAATATAATAGGTAAACCATATTGTCTTTTTAAAAACACAAATAAAAAATCAAAATTGGACAAGTAAAAGAAACAAAGAAAGTATCCACCATTGTGGAAACTATTTTTTATACAAACAAGCACTTTAGAACTTATTATATGTTAGTTTTAATTAGTTTTACTTTTTAATATTCAAATTATAAATACGGAAAATAGTTATAGAAGACAACTAGGACTATATTTACTCTACTATTTTATTTAGAGTTTAACTAATATGCAGAGACAGTGGATACTTAGTTAAACTCAACTTTATGTACGTATCTCTTTCAATCTTTTGTCTGCAGCGTACTTAATTTGAGTATTTTTTTTGGTTCTTCGGTCTGCAGTGAACTGAATTAGAGTTTTTTTTTTTGAATTTTCGGAGGAATTTGAGTATCGCCGCCCTTACTGCAATGGCTGATTTATTGCCTCAATGTCTTATTCATAAAATACTGTGTCTGCATAGTTTTAAGAGAGCAGCCCAGTTGAGTATTCTTTCTAAAACATGGCTGCAAGCGTGGTTGACTATTCCCAACTTGAGTTATTCACTTGGTTATCTCGAGCATAATATGAAAAAAGTAATGGATAATATCATGGAGAGATATCGAGATGGAAAAATCCCTATTGAAAAGTTAGATTTATCATACTCTGTTGATTCTAATGAAGTTTTTCCTTTGTTTAATAAGTGGCTTGATATTGCACTTCAGAATGGTGTAAAAGATCTTGTCTTTCGAATTCCTAGCCATCTTACGTCATACCCGTTGCCTATGTTAACAATCTTGGCAACAAAATCTTTAAGAGAATTAGTATTAACAGGTTGTGATTTGTACTGTGCTTCATTATCTAGTGGTGTGGTGAATTGCTATTCGTTGAGAAAGCTTTCTCTAACTCAGGTAGGTTTAGGTGATAACACGCTTCAGATTCTACTTAATAGTTGTCCCTTTATTGACAACTTAATTTTAGATTACTGTTCTTGGTTGAAAAAGATTGAGATACTGAATAATCTTCCAAAGATCAAGTCGGTTTCTATTCGGAAATCTGGCACAGAGCTTGTTAAAATTCAAGCACCAACTCTTGAACACTTATCTTATTTTACTGGTGTGGAAGAGTTTGCTATGTTCGATATTGATGCTCCAAATTTGGTGTCATTGGAGTATAAGGGATTTAAATTTCCTGCAACTTTTATGGATACTAATTTGCAATGGAGTTGTTATCCTACGAGATTCGTCCTTGATTCAACTAGCGAAACAATTGCTAGTGTCATGGACGTTTTAATGCATATGATGAGCTCGAGTCATTCTACTTCTCATGGAAGCAACAAGCCTTTGCATCGTCAATTAAAAGAAGTTAAAGCCGATAAATTTGATTGGGAAAACCAGAGATGGCATTGTGATCCTGTGGAACTTGGAAGTGAAAGGATGGCAATAAGGGACCTTAAGGATAAGTTTTGCTTTTTATTATATTGGTCATGCAATTAATTTATCTCTATTCCAAATTGTAATGCATAAGTTCATTAATATAGAGAATAGGACTGCATTTATCACCTGTAATCGTCCTGCATAAGACAGAGTTTGAGCATATGCACTAGTAATTCGACTTGTCAATCTTATTCACCAGCTGATGATAATCCATGACCAGCACAAAGAGTAAGGGTCACCTTACCTCCATCGCCTCTTCCCTTCAAAGTAACCAAAGTTATCACAATTAGCTTTGATGGAAGTCACACAAGCCATCACAATTCCAATAAAGGAAACTGGAAACCCATAACCCTTCAGAGCTTCCTCTATGAACTCCCAACTCACCATATGTCCATATCGTATGCCTTCCTTAGGTCGATCTTTATCATGCACCGAGGGGTGGTTTTCCTATTGTAATGTCGTAGCAGATCATGACAAATCAGAATGTTATGTACTAGTGATCTCCCGTGATGATATGAAACTTGAGCTCCTTTGTTTTCAACAGTTTTTACCAGACTTCTGGCCCTACTGATAGCATGAAATTAGACAGATAAAGTTAGTTGCAGGTTCTTGTGGTTGTGGAGACTTTGCATTGTTATGGAAGAGTTAGAATTATCGAACTTTGGTTCCCCTACAATTGATAAGTGGCTTGACATTGCACTGCATAATGGTGTAAAAGATCTTGTCTTTAAAGTTCCTAGCTTTTCATAGTACCCATTGCCTATTTTTCACAATCTTGACAGCAAAATCTTCAAAAGAGCTGGTTTTGTGGGGTTTTAATTTGAAGCACGTTTCGTTTTCATGTGGTATAGTAAACTGCCAATCATTGTGAAAGCTTTATCTAACTGCTGTCCATTTAGATGAAAACATGCTTCAAACTCTACTTAATAGTTGTCCCTTGACTGTTAGTTTCATCTTTAAGTATTGTTCAGGGTTGGAAAAGATTGAGTTGTTGAATCTTCTAAAGATCAAGTCAACTTTAATTTGGAAAGATAGAAACCAGCTTATTAAAACTCAAGCACCAACGCTCGAGCACTGAACTTATTTTTGTGTTTTGAAAGAGTCTAGTCTTATGTTGGATACTATTGATTATCCAAATTTGGTATCACTAGGGGATAAAATTCCTGAGACTTTTAATGGTAACCATGTAAACATTACCATTACGAGAACAAAAACATACACTCAAAGAGCCCTTGAGTCTCCAACAAAACACAAATACTAATTACACTTGCAGCGTTTGCAAGAAACCACAACATTTACAAGCTTTCTTGATGAACTAAGTACGTCTATTCTATCTAAAATCACCCTCTTAATTTGTGTGTATATCTTAGCCGTCTGTACATGTACTCCTAATACATTCAGAAATGGTTGATCTGCTATGGTGCCCTCTGAGATCAATATAGCTCCTTGTGATTGAGTATTCACATCCCTTAGTCATTCTGTATCTATCTTGAGCATACCAGCTTTACATTTTTACTTTCATGGAGTGTATCTTCCTCCAGTACCAGCTTCTATCTACAGGAGCATTATGTCTCCAGACATCTTCTCCCTCTTTCATATACATGCCATGCACTGACTTAACCCATAGTGAGTCCTTATTAACAATTACTTGCCAAAGCAACTTATCAACAAGATGCAAGGTTCCATAAGCTGCATTCCTTGGTATTTAGCCCTCCGAGCTTCTTAGGCAGATACAGTGTACTCCATGAAACTAGTGACATCTTCTTCTTAACATCAGACCCACCCCATAGGTACTCTCAACATCTAAGTTCTCCCGTTTAGTACCTTATTAGTATTTTTCTTAAGAATAGTTATGTCAAGTGTGATTAAAGTTGGAAACATCAAGACACTAAGAAACTATGTTTGGTGAATAAATGATGCGTTTGTCATCGATAATTGCCTGTTAAAAGCTTTTTCTGACACTTGGATTTGATATACTAGTCTGAGGCCAGCTTATAGGTGTTATATATGTTGTACTTCAAAATCACAGAATCAATTGAGATATACTCAAATAAGAGATCTCACAGTGCCCTGTCTTCTAAAAGTAGTCGCGTGCGTATGCAACTGATAAGAGTGATAGGCCTATTAAAGTCCTCTTGAGGCCTCTGAAGTATGTACCTTGTTGAAAAGAGAAAATTATGCTGCATATAGATCTAACTTAGACTTCTGATATCAGAGGTTCTTTCACATTTGTAAAATTTGATTTTGTTGACGTTATACTAGGCCATAGCACATGCAAGAGGAAAGAATTTCACTATAGAATGGTGAGAAAGACAGAATAAAGAATCTTATGCTTCAACTTCAACACAATTTTATACAATGGTGAGAAAGTGCAAGAATTTAAAGCTAGACATAAAACAGATTAATAAAGTTTAGGAATGAACAAGTGCATTCGTTTTGAAATAGTGATAAATTAATTGCATTGCCAATCTAATAAAAAATAAACTTCCTTCCTGTCCTCCGAAAGGGTGCTTATCGCCAGTTCCCCACTTACGAGTTGCAGCTCTTGATTTTTCCCATCAAAAACTTTTATTTCTTTCAATTGACTATGCCAATGGTTGCTTCTTTCCGAAGAAGAATGACTCAGATTCTTCATATACATCAAACGACTGACGAAACATGTAATCATTTCAACCGTTGATGATAGGTTGAGTCTCCTAGGATTACAACTCCATAGCAAAGCATCCACAAATGTTGGACACTCCCCATATGACCTTGTAATGTTGACATTTAAAACGTCCATTTGGGGGCTAGCAACTCCGTGGTGCTGCTGCAAATCTTTAATCTTGATGTCATTGTATTCGGGAAAACAAAGGAGAACTTGGGACCAAGGGGCCGAATTCGATAGAAGCTTCCTCAACTTACTAAACCATGCAGCATCTAAATTGTTGTTGCCATGAAGAACGATTTTTGAATGCTTCAATTGACTTGAAGCTTTCGCAATTTTAAGTTCAGGAATTTGATATCCTATATACTCAAGTGATACCAAATTCGAAGTTTCAATCTGTCTTATGCCCACACAATACTGAATTTTCAATACTTCTAGGGATTGCGATCTAGAAATAAGGTTATGGAGAAATCCAATACATATCTTCACATATGATAGCTCTAAAGATTTTAGATTCTGACAACCAACGATAACCAAATTTCCCGATAAATAACCATTATAAAACAAGTGTTCAAGAGTTGGTGCTTGGATTTTCACATGTTGGTTTCTATTTATTGATACGGAAACTGACTTGATCTTTTGAAGATTCATAAGCTCAATCTTTACCAACCCCGAACAATGATCAAGGTTGAAAGAGACAATGAAAGGACAACTATTAAGTAAAGTTTGAAGCAAATTTTTGCTTAAAATTATATAAGATAGAGAAAGCTTTCTCAAAGAATGACAATTCGCGAACCCACTAGATGACGAAACATGCATAAGGTTACAACCTTTCAGAACCAATTCTCTTAAGGAATTTGCTGCCAAGACTTTAGAAATAGGAAAAGGATATAATCGTACCGAGTAGAGAAGATCTACATAGACTAAATCTCTTGCGCCATTTTGAAGAGCTGTGTCAAGCCACTTATCAATCAGAGGGAAAACTTGATGACGACGATTGAATTTCGAACAATTTGAAAATCCAAACTTGTCAATGGGGATATTGTTTTCCTTGTATGTCTCCATAATTGCGTCCACTATTTTTGTTTCTTCGAAATATTCAACTAAGAATTCCAAGTTGGGAAGAGTAGACCAAGCTTGTAGCCATGTTTTAGATAGAATTCTCATCCGGGATGCTTGGCCATAGCTAAGATAACAGAGTATTTTGTGAATCACACATTCCAAGAAAATGTCAGCGGTGGCGGCCATGTTTTTGGCTTGAAAGGGGAATTGACAAATACGGTGGAAAAAAGGTAAAATAAAGCCCTATTTATGCTTTAGAAACCCTAATTAATTTCTAACGACTTTACCCTTTTTCTTAATTACTTAGACTATCTCCAACCTCACTTTATTTTACTCTTCATTCTCTATATTTGGAGAGTAAAACAGACAATTGGATCTCCATCTGCTCTCTAAAAAGCTCTCTATTCTCTATTTATAGAAAGGTAAATAGTACTCCCTCCGTCCCTATTTAGTTGTCCATATTTTCTCTTTTAGTTATTCCTATTTAGTTGTCCATTTTGACAAATCAAGAAAGAACAACAAATTTTTTCCTATTATACCTTTATTTAAACTTCTTGAAAATTTCTAGTAAGCTGTAATTCATCATTTTTGAAACTATACAATACATTTATTATGCTTGGGGAGTTACACAGTCCTATAAGTTACCTATAAAGCATTTTGTTAGTTTATGAGTAAAATTTTTGAACAATTTTTTTAAATTAAAAAATGGACAGAAATAAAGTTGAAGTTTCAACTAATTCTCCTATCAAAGTAGAAGGCTCACTTATATTGATTGAAGATCCACTTCAATAGAAATATTTAAATCTATTCCATTCATTGAACTTGATTTATTTTGTCTTGTATCCATTGGTTGTTTGATTTCTCATTTCATTGAAGCATTTTTTTATAACAAAATATTTTGATGGGAAATTTTTAAATGTTACAAAAAATTGTAAAAGTGTATGTTGTTTTCCTCCAATTTATTTCACTTGAACTCAAAGAAGTGGCTGCAATTTTGAAGTGAAAAATTGTTATAAATAAAGTAAATAAACTTATGAACTTCCTAGCATTGATTAATTATCTTGAGTGAATTTATTTTAGAATTGTAAATTGTACTATAAGGGTAAAATTGTAACTTTACTATGCTAATCATTGTTGCCTTATCTGTGTGTCATTTCTAAAGTGGACAACTAAATAACGATGGAGGGAGTATTTCTTTAAATTTGGAGAACTACTACTCAACTCTCTATTTCACTTTTTCATTATTTTAATATTATTTCTATTATTTGTAACTAACATATTAATTTTCATATAAGGCCTATTAAATAAATTTCTAATATTCGTAATTCTTTTTAAATATAGTACAACATTTTAAAAAATATGTTATTTAATATATACTATTTTCATCATGAATTAACAATATTTTAAATATATTTTTTCAACTTTCATCACTTTAAGAGATAATTTGATATTATTATTGATTTTCACTACGAAAAATGCACAAAATTTAAATGATAAAATGAAAAATTTAATTTAAAAATACAATACATGGCATAATAATTTAAATACAAGACAACAATACAATACATAACATAATGTTTTTCACAACAATAATTTAGTAATCCGGCAGGTCGTTTTTAGATTTAACAATATTCAAAAAAAAGATAGTGTATCATCTAGAAAATTGTTGTGTTTGTGATTGCGGTTGTGCTTGTTGATTTCTTTTTTCAATTTTTCGTAGTTGTTCTTTAAATTTACAATAAAATATAATTTCATATTAAATAAAGAATTTAAAATAATAATAATTTTATATTACATGAAAATTATATAGGGTGATTATTTTGAAAAAAGAAAGAACGGATTTATATTATGAAATAAGAAAATGAAATAGAAATAGAAATAATAATACAATATTGAGGAGAAAGAAGAAGATTGATTTTTATAGAGTAAAATAGAGAATTGGTTGTCTGAAAAAATAGAATACTCTATATTTGGAGAGTAAAATAGAGTGTAGGATTGGAGATGCCCTTGCAAGACGTTCCATAACTTCATAGTTTATACGGGGAAAAAATATAATACATAAATATGCCCTTTAACTTGGCTTTAATTTACATTTATGCTCTTCAACTTTGAGTGTGCACAAACATACACTTAAACTTGTATAAAATTGAACAAATAAATATACATTTTATATGTCATCTTACATGACAATTTGCATTTTACGTGGTGTCCCTACGTATATTATGCCACGTAGAACTCATGTATCTATTTATTCAACTTTATACAAATTTAAATGTATCTATGCACACTTAAAGTTGGAGCACATATCACTTGTATATGTTATGCCTTTTTTTAACTTTGATAGATAAAAAGTAGGTTTGAAATTGTTTTCATAAAAATAAACAAATTAGCTAGTACGAAATAAATTTAAATAAGAAAATTAAGTAAATATGGAATGGTAAAAGGAGACCAAGTATGTAGGCAATACAAAAAAAAAAAGAAAAAGAGACCAAGTATTTAAAGAAGACAAAAAAAATTAAAGATAAAAATAAAATTAAGTTTTAATAGTAAAAAAGATTCAAACTTGAAATATAACATATTTGGATTAATATATTTTTTATTATTATATTAGTAAATTATTTAAGTTTGTTATAACTGTGCTAAAAGCGCGGATAAATTTACTAGTGTAACAGTATACTGTTCCTATAATATATAGGGTTTTGATTTACTCTTCCTCTGTCAGTTGTTACAACAACCGCAGTTTGTCAATTCCCCTGCAACTTCCATGCCATGGGGACAAGCTCAGCTGACATGTTGTCTGTATGCCTCATTCGCAAAATACTCTGTTATCTTAGTTATGGCGAAGCAACGCGGATGAGAATTCTCTCTAAAACATGGTTACAAGCCTGGTTAGATCTTCCCAACTTGGAATTCGAAGTCACTTCGGGTAAAAGCATAACAATAGTGGATGAAATCACTAACAGATATAGGGACGGAAATATTCCTATTGACAAGTTCGAATTTCACAACTTTACAAAGCCTGCCTGATCATATTTACCCTCTGATTGATAGGTGGCTCGACATTGTTCTTCAAAATGGTGTAAGACATCTTGTGTATAGAGATGTTAGATATTCAACATCATACTCCTTCCCTGTTTTTAAATTCGTGGAATCGAATTTTTTACGAGAACTAATCCTGACGGGTTGTGATCTGATGCATATTTCATTATCTAGTATTAGTTCTATGGCCACTTCTCATTCTTTGAGAAAGCTTTCTCTATCTTGTGTTCGGTTAGATATGAACATCCTGTTGGGTTTTATTTGCCCTGATTTCTTACCATAAATAAGTTTTCCTTTTAGGAAAGGGTTTTAATATTTTGACTAGTCCTTTTCTTGTAGGAAAGGTTTTAGGACTCTATAAATATAGACTTGTTCCTTCTAACTTAATTAGCATTCACAATGTAGTCTTAAGGGCTTTGAGAGTTTTGGTTAGGGGGAGAATTTATGGGTCACAAGCTTGATACGTTATCACTTGTGTGAACCTCCCATGTATTCCGAGTGAATTGGTTGAGGTTGTTTCTCTCTATATTTTGTACTCTCATATTTATAGTGGATTGCTCATCTCCTTTGTGGACGTAGGTCGATTGACCGAACCACATTAAATCTGTCTCTTTTGGTGTGTTTCTCGTTTGTCTTCCTACTCGTGGTCTTTCGAGGTTTGCTTTGCTAGCTTCCGCATTACACCTGCTTATTTCGATCCTAACACATCCTTCAAACTCTACTTAATAGTTGTCCCTTTATTGTCGATTTAATCATTGAGCATTGTACTAGGCTGATAAATATTGAGCTTTTGAATCTTCGTAATATCAGGTCACTTACCATTCGTATTCACCAACCCGTTACAATCCAAGCACCAGCTCTTGAACACTTGTCTTATTCTAGTTATTGTTTGAAACAGTTGCATATTATTAACTATGAGAATCTGAAATCTTTAGAGATATCAAATACGGAGGTATCTTATGGATATCTCAACAACCTTATTTCAATACCTTACTGTCTTGAGAGATTGATATTAGCTAACAATACCGTAAGTAAGTTTGACGTTTGCAGGAGTCAATCCCTTAGGGTCTTAAAGATTTGGAATTGTAAGATCATCGGAGCTATTGATGCTCCAAATTTGCGATTATTTGAGTATAAAGGACGTGTTATTCCTCAGCTTAAATTTGTACAAGAATCAAGACAATTGAAGCACTCACAAATCATTCTTGATCCCTTGTACAATTTAGATGCAGCATGGTTTTGTGAGTTGAGGAAATTTCTATCAGATTCGACTTCTTGGTCTCACGTTACCCTTTGTTTCCTCAAATGCAATGAGATTAACCTGAAAAGTTTTCAGCTGCAGTGTAGAGCTGTTACACCCAAAGTGGACGTTTTAGATGCAAAATTTTTAATGCCGACTGGGGAGTGCCCCACGTTTGTTGATGCCTTGCTGTGGAGTTGTCGTCCTAGGAAACTCAATCTACAATCAACAAGTGAAATGTTTACATGTTTTGTGAATTGTTTGAGGGAGATGAAGAATTTGAGTCATGGCCAATTAAAAGAAGCAAAAGTCTATAAATTTGATCAGAAAAGTCAGAGTTGGCATTGTGTAGAACACAAAAGAGGAGGAGAGCTCTCAATAAGGACTGTTAGCAAGTCGGAAAAATATTTCTTTTTATTAGATTGGTGATGCAGTTTATTTTATTGCAAATTGAATGCCCTTATTCTTAGAAGTAACAAACTGCAATTCAATTTTTTCGCAGCAAACTGGTTTTCATCAAATAAATGCAGAGAGCTTACTTCTGTTTTATATATCTTCTATCGGAGGTTCTTTTGCAGTCGTAAATTTTGATTTGTTAACGTTAGCTTGATACTTCGATTTGATATGTTAGTCACAGAATCTATTGAGCTATACTCAAATAAGAGATCCCAGTGTAATACTTGAATCACACTCAAATCTGCTGGTGCATAGTAACAATTTTGTCTTAGTACTCACTTTGGTATTTTTGGTTAACCGTGGTACCCAGGTCAACTTGAGCGCACCTAGACAAATTCCACGGGATATCTCTCACCTCTCACTAACAACAGATACTAGATAACCCTGTCCATCAAGGCAAGAATAAACTGGAAGAAATCAAAAGTTAACTCTGTCCGCTAAGACTAGAAAT